TATGGCCCACAACAAAACAGGAGCCTCTGAACTGAATTTTGCCAGCAACCTGAGTGAGCAGGAATCAGACCCTCCCCTGGAGCCTCCAGAAGGAATGCAGCCATGCCCACACCTGGGTTTCAGCCTGGTGAGGCTGTGCAGGATTTCTGACCTCCAGAGCTCCAAGATAATAGTTTACATAGTGTAAGCCTCTAAGTTTGTGATTATTTGTCACAACAGCAATAGAAAATTAATACAGCACTTGACCTGTTCCCCAATTGATAAAGGTGGCGTGCTGTGCCTAACCTGTTGGTGTAAATGTCATATATGCTGAACACCTGCTTTCCTTCTGAGTTTCTTGAATTTTGGTACATGCCAGGCAGAGGGTGTCTAGTGACCATTCCCCCAGTTAAAGAAAAAAAAAAACTTTTGGGTACTGAGCGAGCTTCCTTGGACAAAAACATTCCCTACATGTCATGCACTTCCACTCCTGGGGGAAAGTGTGCTTGGTATACCCCCTCACAGAAGGGAGAGAGCATAAGGAAGCTTGTGCGTGGATTCCTTAAGATCCCACTTGTGTCTTTTTTTCCCTTGTTGACCTTATTGTATATACTGTTGCTGTAATAAACCTTAGCTGTGAGTACAATCATACACTAAGTCCCTTGAGTCCTTCTACTGAATTCAGTGAATGTTTTGGGGCCCCTCGAAATGATAAGGGATGGCAGGCCACATTTTGAGTGGCCAGTGAGTTCCAAAGCGCTACAGTAGGTGTGATCTGAAGGCAGGCCTTTACATGCCATGTCTCACTTTGGGTTGGTGCCTGGAGGCACCGCTGGCATCCCTGTTGCTGGGCAACAGTGTTTTCCAGAGCAGAGGAGGAGCAGGATCCAGATAGGAGGTGCCATGATCCTCCACAGAAGAGGCACACCTGCTCCCTCTGGTGGTCTGTGCCTTTCAATAGCTGTATCCAGAGATGGGGACTTGCCATTCAGCGATGGGTAGAGCAGATTTCATCGGAAGCTGCTGGCTGAGCCTACTGCTAGATGTAAAAGTTCAATTCCAATGGGCCTTCAGACCCAGAACTGTGGAGCAATTTCACTGTCAGAATATTGCATACATTCCTCCTGGAAGTATGTCCTGAGTGCAGATTTTTTTCAAGAAAGCGTTTAGCTGAACAGTAAAATCTGGTGGTTACCTGCTTGTCCGGTCCCTCTGAATAGAGACATGGAATGTGTCTATTCAGGCAGAATCCTCCTGGAGGGTAGTCAGAAACCGTACATGAAGCTGTAGTTTGGAATGAGGGAAGCTACCTCTCTTTTGATCTCTCTTAACAAGACAACCCCAAAACTGTACATCTTAGGCTTCTGAGATTAGGAGCTCTAAGTATCAGTGAAAATTTACAGCTACCTAAGGAAAGCAGCCAGCTTAACTTGTCCCTTCGTTCATATATTGAGGCACCAAGCTAGTGGCTGAAGCATACAGTGGTAGACCAGACAGACGTGGTCCCTGCCTGCCCCTAGGTAGTGTCCAGCCTAAAGGAATCCTCCCATCTGGTATTACTGGATAATAAATATGGAACTTAGAGTTAGACAGACCTAGATTTCCAGTGGTGCCTGGACCATATCTACAACCTATTGCTAGACAGGAAGAGACATGGGGAAGCATACATGCTCACTATCCTCCCCCTAGGGACAGGGCATCACCCCACCCCCACCCCTGCCCTATTCAGCCTCTTCTGAGTAGCCTTTCTAAATTTCTGGAATCCCTGCATTAAAAGTCCTGCCTAAGGTGGAAAGCGGAACTCAGTCTAGGGGAGAGGTGTGAGTCCTAGGCTCCACCAAATGCTCCCCATCAAGACTTTGGTCAGAAGTGGGGCACCTGGGAGGCTCAATCGGTTAAGCGTCCGACTTCAGCTCAGGTCATGATCTCGTGGTCAGTTTGAGCTCCGTGTCAGGCTCTGTGCTGACAACTCAGAGCCTGGAGCCTGTTTAAAAGGATTCTGTGCCTCCCTCTCTCTCTCCCTTCCCCTCATCACACTCTGTCACTCTGTCTCTCAAAAATGAATAAACGTTAAAAAAAAAAAAGACTTTGGGTAAGAAGGGAGAAACAAGTGAGGAGCCAATTTTCCAGTGGAATCTATTCCCAGTGAAAATTGTACAGCATGGCTAGAGATATTGAGTCCTCACAAGCAGTTGAGGTAGATGTCCTAATGGCACAGTCATGAGGTTCACCTCAGCAGTTCTGTCCTTAGAGTAGGTAGAATGTCATCAAGTTCTGTCTCACCTGTTGGAGATTCCTGAGCTCTACCTAGTAGCCATTAACAAAAATACCTTTGCTTAAAGAAGCTAGAATTGGTTCTGTTGCTTGTAGCTAGGAAGTCTGATGGATAAAGGGAGGTCCAAAAACAAACAAGAGCCAATGTATTGTTTCTCTTTGACACTGTCAGGGCTGGGGGTCTGGATCTGAGAACAAAAATAAGTAAAGAGTAGAGGACTGTAAGTCTCATCTAGCTACTTATAAAGTATCATCTGCCTATTTATAAAGTTTCTAATTTATTTAAATTATTTTTCTATTTTGAAAGTCATAGGTTCACCACCCCACTAAGGCCTGAAGTCATACACTCACCTACAAAGAGGGTACTGGCATTGACATTCCTTCATGGCATATACTGACCACAAGATGGCGAAAGAGATTATCACATCAAGCCAGCCCATCTTCCTCCACACCATTATTACACTACAGATAACATTTACTGAGCACTTAATGTGTGTCAGGAACTGTTCCGAGGGCTCTAATGTGTTGTCACTTATAATCCTATGAAATAGTTGCCATTTCATATGTGAGGAAACTAAGGCACGGAGATATTGGTCTACCTGTCTCTAGCTCATATTTATGTATCATTTATCCATTATACCATCCAATATATCCATCCAATATACCATTTTCTATCATCTGTACCTATATACCAATTTATCATCTATATCTTTTTATTTAAAGTTTTCTTTATTATAAAAGTAACACATACTCATGGTAAAAATACTCAAATGGTAATGGTTGGTTTAAAAAATATTTATTTATTTTTGAGAGAAAGAGAAAGAATTTGAGTGGGGAAGGGAAGACAGAGAGGGAGACACAAGATCTGAAGCAGGCTCCAGGCTTTGAGCTGTTAGCACAGAGCCGGATGCGGCGCTCGAACTCAGGAGAAACATGAGATCATAACGTGAGCCGAAGTCAGATGCTTAACCGAGTCACCCAGGTGTCCCATTATTGGTAAAAGTTTTTAAAGTCCTCTCTTCTCCATGCCCACGATCCCAGTTCTACTGCCTAGTGATAACTACTGTTAGTTTCTTCTGTACCTGTCCATAAATGTTCATAAAGATGAAAATTGGCTACTCTTTGATATTCATAGAAAATGAATATGCAAGTGTATTTTATACATATATTCTACACACATATACACACAGGACCATATCCCACACACTGTCCTACAGCACACACCTCTGCTTGGCATTTCCTCTTGGCCATCAGATGCAGACTGGGATTACTCTTGCCTGAGGGCCTCATTTATGAGCCTTGGGTGTGACAGTGGCTGCACTCACATGTGCACTAGAGAGCAAGTCAGCTGCACTGGAGCCCCCTGTGACAGTAAGCATTGGACAAGAAGGCTATTGATAAACTTCAGGGAATGTGGAGATGTGACACGGTGCAAGGGAAGTTTTTGTGTGGTTCTCAGGTAGGGCTGGACCTCACCTCTGGTGTATTCTGCCCTCTAGCCCTGGTCCTAGAGAAAATTCAGATTTGCATACAACCAACATTCACAGTGTGCCTTAATTTTTTTTTTTTAATTTTTTTTCAACGTTTATTTATTTTTGGGACAGAGAGAGACAGAGCATGAACGGGGGAGGGGCAGAGAGACAGGGAGACACAGAATCGGAAACAGGCTCCAGGCTCTGAGCCATCAGCCCAGAGCCTGACGCGGGGCTCGAACTCACGGACCGCGAGATCGTGACCTGGCTGAAGTCGGACGCTTAACCGACTGCGCCACCCAGGCGCCCCTGTGTCTTGATTTTTAAGAAACAAGCTTTAAAATGATAAAGATAATGATAAAAAAACGTATGGGCCAATCTCACTTGTGAACAAAGATACAAACATCCTAAACAAAACATCAGAAAGAGGAATACAACAATACATAAAAAGGAGAATATATCATGACTCAAACTGTGTTTAGTCTAGGAATACCACATTAACAGATTAATGGAAAAACCTCATAAGATCACCTCAGTAGATGTAGAGTAAGTGTGTGATAATAACATTCAACAAACATTCATGGTAAGTACTCTTAGCAAACTAGGAATAAAAAGAAACTTCCTTAATCTAATAGAAGAGATCTAATTTTTAAAAATCGATAGTACTTAAAAAAAAAAAAATAGGGCACCTGGATGGCTCAGTCAGTTAAGTGTCCAACTCTTGATTTTGGCTCAGGTCACAATCTCACAGTTTGTGAGATCTAGCCCCATGTTGTGCTCTGCACAGTTGTGCAGAGCCTGCTTGGGATTCTCTCTCTCCTTCTCTGCCCGTCTCCTGCTCATGCTCTGTCTCTCTCAAAATAAATAAATAAACTTTAAAAAAATAAAAAAATAAAAAATCTATAGCATACATCACAGTGAAATGTTGAAGAGATCAGGGATACACAAGGATGTCTATTATCATCACTTCTATCCAACTTAAAAGGATGTGGCTAATGTCATAAGGTAAGGACAAGAACTACAAGGTAGAAAGATTCAAAAAGAAACAATACCATCATTATTTGCATGTGGTATGACTGTGTATGTAGAAAATCCAAAAGGATGTAGAGATACACTATTAGAATAAGTTTAGCAAAGTTGCCAGACAAAATCATTATACAAGAATAAACAGCACTTCTATAGACCAGCTCTAAATAGAATAAAGAGTTTTTTTAAGATACCACTTATAATAGCATCACATTCCTAGAAACAGATTTAACAAAAGATATGCATGACTTCTTCTGAGCAAATTTTATTAAGGCTTTATTGAGAGAACTTAAGCCAAATTATCAACATAACAAAGCATATGTATGGCTTCAGCTTGTCTTCTTTTGAACATATGACTGTTCATCACCTAAAACATAAACGTAAGAATTGGGTACATCACTTAGCAGAACTTTACTTAGACAAGAATAAAGGTACATAAAGGACACTACAGCTTTGGTTTTATAAGATGAAACTAAAACCAGAACCTTAATCACGGCACAGACCTCTACGCTAATGTACATTTTCAGGCATATAAGCACCAACTTTTTAAATACATCACTCTTTTTGATGGTATGAAGAAACACAGATTTCTCAAACCCAGAACAGATCAAATCCCACTAGTTTATTTAAAGATAATTTTAGGTAGTGAGAAAAAGCTGTCTGATTTCAATTAAAATAAAATCAACCAAGCAGAAACTCCAAGAAGCAAACAAGCAAGTAAACCCAGTATCACTGAAATTCATTCATCTGAAATAGTCTTCTAATTATCTGTATTAGCTAAAATAATAATGTCACTGGGACATGTGGGTGGCTCAGTGGGTTAAGCATCCACCTTCAGCTCAGGTCATGATCTCGTGGTTCATGAGTTCGAGCCCAGCATCGAGCTCTCTGCTGTCAGCATGCAGCCTGCTTTGGATCCTCTGTCCCCTTCTCTCTCTGCCCCTCCCTCCACTCAAAAAGAAATAAAAACCTTTAAAAATAATTAAAAATTAAAATAATGATGTCATGCTTGGAACCATTTTAACTAAAGAGAAGGCAAAAACATTATTCCATTTGGTTTGTCTCTTTTGTGCAAAAATATTTCATTGATTCAGTTCAACTTTTCTATGGTCTATTTATAGTAAAGTGACCATTTGTTTCATTGGCACCTATTGTCCTGGTGTAAGCAGTCAACAGCACTCCTTTAAACTCTCAAGAGTGTCCTGGTTTGGATGATAAAAATTACACAGTCACACTAGTTATAAGCCACTACCATCATAGATGACATTACAAGATGCAGGCAAATATTACCATTTCTTAGCCTCGCTCACTATTTAAAAAACAAATAAGCCAACCTATAAAAGCCAAAACAAAGAGATCCATATCATTTTTTGGTGTCTAAAAGATACAGTGATTGTTGAGAAATAGTTCAGGCAAATTAAACGAAAATCAATACTACTGTGTTGTTTAGATATCCATTTGATACTGGGGTATGTTAAATAATTTATGTAAGTATATGACCACTTGCATTAGGTTTCAAAGGACTTCTATTCCAAAGTAATAATACTTCCATGTTTTATAATTCAACAACATGCCTTTGAGTTAACTCATTTTTTCCTTCTGATACTGTCTCTGAATCAAGCATTTGGTGTCTAAGCTACTTTTCAAATAATCTTTGTGTTCGTGATTTGTTACAAAGGTATAATAATATTGTAGAAAAGAACAACCCCATGACTGGCATTCTTAATGGAGAACTTACATGCTTCTGGAATTTTAGCAGGTGCTGGATTAGGTGGAGTCTTCCTTTCTCACCTCAGGGCAATCTACATGCTCAGCTCCAGTCTTTTCCAGACCCATTCCCTGGGTTTCACTTTCCAGTTCAGGTTCTTATATAAATAAACAGAATTATTAATGTAAGCAGCAAACCATAAATTAATATTATTAAATAAAGCCCTGTAAGTCAGTAGTGTAAAAAGTATGATGTGTAAGAATGCAGTAAGCATTAAAAAGTTTTTCTGCTAGAAAATGGGAGTAATTGGGGCGCCTGGGTGGCGCAGTCGGTTAAGCGTCCGACTTCAGCCAGGTCACGATCTCGCGGTCCGTGAGTTCGAGCCCCGCGTCAGGCTCTGGGCTGATGGCTCGGAGCCTGGAGCCTGTTTCCGATTCTGTGTCTCCCTCTCTCTCTGCCCCTCCCCCGTTCATGCTCTGTCTCTCTCTGTCCCAAAAATAAATAAAAAACGTTGAAAAAAAATTAAAAAAAAAAAAGAAAATGGGAGTTATGTTTCTTATATATTACCTCCTCTATGAAGTGTTTCTTTTTCCAAAACTGTTTAAGACAACTTAGTTATCACCTCTGTAACCTATATACACTTATATTATTGCACTTATTCCACTAGATCAGCCATTTGTTTACCTGAATTTCTGACAAGATTGTGAGTACAAGACAGAAATCATTCTCTCATTTATATTTTTATCTTCAGCATCGAGTACATGACCTGCCACCAAGCAGGCCCCAATAAATGAGTGAAAAAAAGTCATCACAAATAAAGAGATGAGAGAAACCCAACCTGAAGAACATTTTACAAAACAAATGGCCTGGACTCCAGAAATTGTCAATCAGGAAAGACAAAGAAAGACTGAAGTACACTTCTAGGATAAAGGAATCGAAAGAGGGGTGACAACTAAATACAATGGGTGGCTTTGGGTTGGATCCTGGATCAGGAAAAAATAATGGTATAAAGGATATTACTAAGCCAGCTGACAAAACTGGACATTACTAGGCAACAGACCACATATTAGATAATAATTTTTTCTTAACGTTAAAGTTCCTCAATCTGATCATTGTACTGGGGTTATGTAAAACAATATCCTTGTTTCGAGGAAACAGATACTGAATTACTTTGAGAGTACAGAGTTGAAATTTAATCTCAAGTGGTTTAACAATAATAATATGTGTATTATTATCTAAGGAAGGGTGATATGTGGCACAAGGTTAGCATAGCAATGCGTGGATCAAGGTGTCTGAGGCTCCTATCAAAAGTACACTGTACTTTTCTTGTAACTTTTCTGTAAGCTTTAAATCTTTTCTAAGTAAAAAAGTTTTTAAAAAAGGAATATATGACAACTAGATTATGGTTCAGGAAGACAAAAATATTGAAGACTTTAACAGCAACTAGGAAAGGCTTTCACATTTTTGTTTCTCTGTATTATGATTTTTAAAAATTACAATCTAAGAGTTAGCCAAAGTGTATCTAGGTCTGCTTAAACATTTGATGCCACGACTTAAGAATCCCAGAAAACAGCATTCAAAAAAGGCCAACTTTAACTAGTGACATAGTGTATAATTCTGTCTAAATTTAATGTTGTTTCCTTGCTTTGCTAATATAGAGCATTGGCAAGAATTGTACTTTCCAAGCATGCCAAATAATTTAAAATATGGGATGGTAAAATGCTGAAAGAAAGAAAACTTATCACAGAGACGGACTGCAGTCAGCTGCAAACTATACCTTTCCCTTACCAAACAGGTTTCCAGCCAATTTTCAAGGAACCCTTTATCTATTCCTATTACTAATATAACATCATAAATGAAATACAACATGTTTCTTCATCCCCTCTTCACCTTGAGCCACAGGTGCTCCTTCTTTCTCTTGCCCAGTCTCAATATCTGGATTCTCAGTTGGTAGTTCCTTTTGCTGTGATGTTTTTTCACCTGGTTGTTTAGCCTTAGGGGAGGATAGGTGCAAATAAAGAGTACTGATATTAATACTATAATGACAGAAGGCACAAATACACATACTACATGGAGGTAGTCAATCACAAATCTGAAGTTTTTCCTATATTCTTCTCTGTAAGTATTCAATAAAATTACTCTTTATATATAGAAAATACTCCAAGGAGTTATCTGCAAGGACTAATAATTCTGGAAACCTTTTTAATCTTTTCTGAGATGTGTGTTGTTTGTTTATTCATAAGCACAATAGGGAAGTCATAGAGAGGATTCCTGGGCTCCTATCAATTTACACATCCAGGCAACACCAGAATGTAAGTCTTTTTCCTCAATGTTTCTTTCCTGGATTCATTTTTCATCCATTTTAAGCAAGAAAGTCCTTTAAACAACATACTATACTGGTTCAACAACTTTTTTTGATAGTTTTTCCTAAAAAATTATTTCTGCCAATAGAAGTAAAAAATGAAAGCACTCACAACCACAGGTTCTTCCTGCTTAGAAGACTTTTTTCCATCTCCCTTTCCTCTAGATCTTGATCTCACTCGTGCACTCATATTTCACACTGAAAATAGAAAATCGTTAAATATACACCACATCTTCTTTATCTATTCATCAGCTGATGCACATTTGGGCTCTTTCCATAATTTGGCTATTGTTGATAGCACTGCTATAAACATTGGGGTGCATGTATATACAATGGAATACTACTCAGCAATCAAAAAGAATGAAACTATTTTTTGCAATAACGTGGATTGAACTAGAGTGTATTATGCTAAGTGAAAACAGTCAGTTCGAGAAAGACAAATGTCATAGGATTTCACTCATATGTGGTATTCAAGAAACAACAGATGAACACAGGGGAAGAGAAGGAAAAATAAGATAAAAACAGAGAGGGAGAGGGAAGCAAACCATAAGAGACTCTTAAATAGAGAACAAACTGAGGGGTGCTGGAGGGGAGGTGGGGAAGGATGGGTTAAATGGGTGAGGGGCATTAAGGAGGGTACTTTTAGGGATGAGCACTAGGTGTCATATGTAAGAGATGAGTCACTGAGTTCTACTACTCCTGAAACTAACACTATACTGTATGCTAATGAACTTGAATTTAAATTAAAAAATAATAAATAAAAAGAAAAAATCATTGAAGAATGTAATAAAATAATAATTATACTGAAATATTTTTATGGCCAACTGCTAATTATAAATTCTTTTTTACATTTGTTGAGATTTCCAAAATAAATTTTGAACTCATAACAACTGCCTATTTTCCAATCACATCAAATGAGGCTATTTGCAAAACCTTTGTTTCACAGCAATTTGGCAGACAACGGACCTTCAAGTACTTGAAAAAACATACAACTTTCCTAAAAAGATTTCATTTCACAACTGGACTCTCCACTATCTAGAGATTTTGTAATATACAGTCTTGTCTAACTCTCCACGGACCATTTTCAATTCCATGCTCTGTCGGCAGTTTCAGGTGCCCCCAGGACTCAGATGCCTCCAATAGCACCCCTTAGACAACTCCATTTTCATCTGGCACTCTCCCTTTCCCAACCCCACCACCACGACATGGGCTATGGTGGGCCATACCTGTGAGGATGACGATGACTTCATGGACTTACTCACCGGAGGCCAGGAACCACACTGCCCTTACCCACCTAAAGGCAAATAGCAACGTCTTCACATTCACTCAAACTTAAATTCCTGGGCGGACTAATCTGCAGACCTACTGATTCTCAGCGAGAAAAAATCTACATGTTAAGCCTCGACATGCTCAGCTCAGCACCCAGAACACGCTGCACATGCTGTCACGCCAACCACCAAGGAGAAAGTTCTGGGCAGTGGGCATGTGCACTGCATCCTGCAAGCCACATGGGAAGGGCTTCCCTGCCTCTCACTGGGGCTTCACCAAAAATTCCCCAAATCTGCCCTCCGTCGGCAGTTCCTGGCGCCTGCAAGACCGATACCTCAAATAACATCATCAAGACTCGCCCCATCTTCATCTGACCCCCTTTCTCACCCGCCCATTGCCCTCCCTTGTCTCAGCCCCCCTCTAACAAAGACAAAAGCCATGGCAGCCACAACACCTGTAAAGAGAAAGGTGACCTTCCTCCTCAGCGTCAAGAAACGGCCACCCTGACCTGCCTGAAGCCCGCTGGCTCTTTCCTCACTCACTCACATTTAAGCTCCTGGGAGAACGATCAAGTCTCACGAGAGAAAGACTCCAGGTGGTAGGACGCGACCCCAACAGCTCAGCACTCAGAACACACTGCACACGTTCCATACCAATAACGGCTGGAAAGGTGCACAGCACTGGACATGCGCACTGCCTTCGCATGTACCACGTGGTTATGACTTCTCCACCCTTCATCACGCCCACACCGACAATTCCCAAATCCACCCTTTGTCAGTTCCTGGTGCCTCTAGGACCCAGATACCTCATAATTTGCCCCAAGCCTTGCCCCCTCTTCATGCGACCCCCTCCCCTCCACAGCCCACCGTCCTCACTTGTTCTGGCCCCGCCACTGTGACATGAGCTATGGCGGCCGCAATGCCTATGAGGGCAAAGACCTCAAGGACCTTCCTCCTCAGAGGCCAGGAACTACATGGCCCTGACCCACCCAAAGCCCACTGGCTCCCTCCTCACACTCACACTTAAACTTCTGGGCAGACTCATCTGCCTACCAATTGGTAAAAGACGTACCAAGTGAATCTTAGTGAGAAAGAATCCAGATGATAGGACGCGATCCGCACAGTGCTGCACACGGAACGCTTTGCACACAACCCAAGTCAGTGGCTGATGGGAAAATGCTGGGCACTGGGCATGCGCACTGCATCCAGCGCATGCTGTGTGGGCGGGGCTTTCTCATTCTTTCATCTTTGACCCCACTGAGGATTCCTGAATCTGCACTTTGTCAAAAGTACCTGGTGTCTCTGGCATCCAGATACTTCAAATAACATCCCCAAGACTCACCCCATTTTCATCTGAGCCCTTTGTAGTCCACCATCCTCCCTTGTCCTGCCCCCACCACAACAACGGCTGTGGCAGCCACAAGTCCTGTGAGGAGAAAGATGTGATGGCCTTAAGGAACTTCCTCCCCAGAGGACACAGATCTCACCGCCTAAACCCATCTGAGTCCTGCTGGCTCCCTCTCACATTCAAGCATTCACACCTATTCACACTTACAGTTGCTGAGAGACAGCAGGGAGCCTGCCGGAGAATCAGAAAGGGAATGAAAATGGTTAGATACCATCTTCTGTTGCCACCCAAACACAACCTCTGTGGGGTCAAATTCACCAGCCAATCCCAAGATTTGGACATATGTGTAGTAACACCTGTGTGTATGCACAGTGATGTATATATCGAATAGGCTGTAGATCCAGCCTTCCCCATCCAAGCAGAGATTCTGCCATGCCTGAAGCAGGACATTGTTTCCTAGTCCTGGAAGACCTGTCCTTCCCTTCCCCACCCCCAAAATCTTTCAGTCCTTCTGTCTAGGACTGTTCCCAGCCCTGCATTTCAGCTGCCCCAGTTGCCCTCAAGAGTCTTTAGTCTCCTTAGAGATGTGTGAGAGCTTTTAGGCTCTGAAAGTCTACAAAGCCATTTCAAGCATGAAAGGAATCCAGAAAAATATAAAGAAAAGGACTGATAAATTCAAATATATAAGCTTTAAAACTTGCATACATTCTGTAACCCAAAACTTCTACTTCTAAAACTTTATGGTAAGGAAACTGTCTTGGGGGAGCCTGTGTTAAACATCTGACTTCAGCTCAGGTCATGATCTCATGCTTTGTGAATTAGAGCCCCCCCATTGTGTGAGCTCAAGCCCTGCTCGAAGTGAGCCCCACTTCTCTCTCTCTCTCTCTCTCTCTCTCTCTCTCTCTCTCTCTCCTTGCCCCTTGCTCACTTCCCCCCTCCTCAAAAAAAAAAAGGGAAACTGTCTTGGATGTGAACAAAGATTTAGATACATGGGATTTCCAAAGCAGCTTAATTTATAAAAGAATGGTCACGGACTTACTATGTAAGTAAACTGCAACACATTTGAAAATGAAATGTGGCCGCCCATCACAAACCAATGCTGAATAATGTTTGCTGTCATAGTTGTGCTGCTCACATTGAGTTATAAACTTGAAACAGCTGGTTATGTAGCACTGTGTATGTGCAGCATGATCCCAAAAGAAGAGGGAGACTTTAGAAAAGTTCACCTCTTCCTCCTGTCAGACAGTAAATATGCTTTGTTTCCCTGGAAAACAAGCCAGCACATTCCAGGACTACAAAGACACAGGGTTACTCCAAGGGTAACACAGCATATAAAATACAGTCCTCAGGGTTGTAGGTCTCCTGCATCTGGTGAGCCTCCAAAGGCTTCACCATCACCTAGGTGGACTGGTCCTCCACTGCCAGGGAAAGAGCGAGGGTAGGGGAGAGAAGGGGGTGGACAGCGGACTATTGCCCCTGATTTTAGCAAATAAAGGTAAGTACCTATAAGACAGAAAGGAATTTGACCTTGCCCTGCCCTATCTCCACCCCCAACCAGAAACCCTTGCTGTCTTGCATTCCCAGACCCTGCAGGTTACCTTTAGAGAAGCACAGGTTCTTTGAGAGTTAGAAAGATGCCCTGTGGCAGAAGTAGAATTACCACATCCCTCCCTCTCTTTTTCCCTCACTCCCTTTCTCTCACCCTCCCTGTCTCATGCAAACAAGATATAGAGGCAATTTAGAGCCAAGTGTAAAGAACATGTAATTCTTCTTTGATCAGTAAGGGAATTAGGGATAACCACTTTTAATATCTAATCAGGAACTGTTCCTACAATTCAGATCTTTATGTGTATGAAATAAAGATTTATCGATAAGGACTGAGGTCTCATACTCTTCAATCAGCATAAACTGTGGGATCTGACCTCAGGCTCATGTTTCTCCTCAGGTGAGCTCTTTTATTGGCTCTTAGTCATTTCCTGTTATCTCTTGGACAGGTTATCTGCTGCCCAGCTGTCTCCCTGACCTTGGTGCTTTGTCTGTTGGCAGCAGCTGTGTTCTCTGGGTAGGATCAAGTTTCTTCAGGCCACTGGGAAGATGGGGTCCTGTCCGTGTGAGAGGTTAGAGTCTAAACTGAAAAAAAATCCAATTTTCTCAGTGCCACAAGCCTTCTGGGTAACCTCATCCTCAGGCAGCATTAGCACAGAGCAACCACTATGACCACGGACAATTAGGTACTCCCAAACCTTTGTGTCATTATGAAGACTGTAGATATCATTTCATTTTATTTGTTTTATAGCACAAGTAATATATGCTCCTTAAAAATAATTCAGCCACTAAGAATTGCTCAGTCCCACTGTCTTGACATTATTATTTAAATCCCAGCATGAGGTCATCTTAATTCTGGGTAGAATTAACATCTGGAAGTAATAGCATTGTCACTAGGACCACTGAGAGGAACCACAAGGCATCCCCTCTGCCCTTCCTGTCCCTCTCCTCCCTTCCCTCACCATAGCAGAGGGAAAAGAGACTTTTTGTCCACCCATTTACCATTGTTGGAGATGATAATCAAGAGTGGGGACTAGCGGGGCGCCTGGGTGGCGCAGTCGGTTAAGCGTCCGACTTCAGCCAGGTCACGATCTCGCGGTCCG